GCCAGCTCCTCACGTTAGCACCGGCCCCGAAACTGCCACAGCGCTCAGTGCCCACCCTGCCTAGCTTCCAAAAAGGAGGGGACTGAGCGACATCGAGCTTCTTCCTCCTCCTGCTCCCCTTCCTCACGGGACGCGTATATGTAAATAATGGACTGACAGACCCTACTTTGTTCCTCCTACCCCAAACCTTCAACCTGTCACTAAAACAATTCTCAAACAAAGCAAAATAATGGCAGGAAAAAAAGCCAATCGCTTCTGTTACTTTACCAAAATCCCCTTCATGACTCTTTGTACCTCAAAGTACAAGAAAGAGGCTGAAAGCACAAGGTTAAGGCTTTTCAGCCCTGTCCTTTAACAGGGGAGACAACATGGCATGACTTAGGAAGCAAGGTAATGTCTCTGTACTCCCTGTGAACAAAATCAGGACAAAAGTCAAGCTGACAGTTAAGTGAAACTCGGCTGTGTCAGCTCATGGCAGCACCCATTCACATCCTAACAAATACTAAAAATTAATTACATGGCTGTAAATCAATCTCCCCCTCCACCCCAGATAAGAAAAGCATTTGAGTCAGAGACACCCGAATATCTAGAAGGTGAGACACATATAAAAACCCCTAATAAACCTTTAATTCGAGTCTGGTTTGGTTTTTTGTTTGTTTTTACAGGATAGGATGACAAGTTACAACAAACATCTGATTTTTCTCAAATGTTCAGATATTATACATATTCCCCTGTCTTGCAGGAAGGGATATCAGTCAACAGTTTAAGGTAAAATAAGCTGCATAATAGTACATATTACAATTAAAATGTACAGTGTTTACAAGAAATATATCTTAGAAGCAAGATAGATGCATTTGCATCGAGGCGACCTTTTAAAATGCCACAGTTATTTTTACATTCACTCTTGCAACAGGTCACAAGATGGGGTCACTAAGGTCAGGTTAACAAATCACTATGATGCACATCAAATACAACAAAATTAGTTTATATACATATATATAATACATATACATGTATATTATACATATACATATATGTATATAATAAAACTCATCAAAAATCTACCAGACCTGGCACAATCCACTTACCCATCAAAAATATGTACTTGTCCTTGGTAAGTAGAATTCTGCATGGCTGATTATATATTATATATACTCATTCATTAGCATCTGAGACATAAAACCGAGGATTTAAAATTTTTCGGTTAACAAACTCTCCAATAATAAACATGGTGCCCACAAAAGCACAAAGGTAAGGCACAATAGGATTTCCTGTTGCAGAATAGTGTGCATCATGTTTACTTAACTGTAAGAAAAACGTGCATTATTTGTGCAAGTTCATGCTGCAGATCCATCATATCTACAAAGTAAAGTGAGTTTCAGTAAAATTTGTGGGACTGGTGTGCTTCCAGTCTCACCTCCTACAGGATGTTCAGCTGGATAACTAGGTAAAATGGTTGTAGGAGTGGGGATTAGTAAAGCCAATAATCTTAGATTTGCAACTAAGTTTCTCAGCAACAATTTTGTACTTCTAGGTAAACATTAGTAAATTTACAAGCTTGGAATCACAAGATTTACTGTCAGCTGCACTAGTTTGCATGAGCCAAAATTGTTGCAAGGAAGGAATTTTTAAATTTTAACACATAAATGGAGAATTAAAACATGTTATAATATACTGGGAATGTCATTTAATCCAATGGTATTTTGTCACAGCCCTGACACTTGTAATAATAAATACAGCTTTTCACAAAATATTTTTCCAGTATCTGCCAATTGCTTCTTTATTGCTCACAAATTTGAATTCATTACAATTGGTATCAGACCTTTCACACAAAATCAGTAAGGTATTTTATATAAAACCTATAAAAGATATTTAACCTGTATCCAACACTTTTAAGTATTTGGCCTCTTGTCATGGTACAGCCAAAACCATATAAAACAATAGGTTTTGAATAAAATAGGAAGCTTATTTGCTGCTTTGACGCAGACATCCTCACAGAACACAACCCTTTTTGCCACCACCAGCATTTACATTTATATACAAAACCCAGTACATCCGCAATCAGTTCATCTTCCCTCACATTGATATGCAACCACTAATGCCAAATTCACTTTCCCCATACCCCAGCTGCAGAAAAAGATTTTTATATAGCAACAAAAAACTAATATTGAGTGAATTTTCTTTTAACTTATTCACCATCAGGAACTGTAGGTTGCTTGTTACAAAATACCCACAAGATTATTTCACAGGAAACTATGGAAATACAGGAAGTCTTCTTTTCTCCATGCTTTTGTATTAGCAAAAACACTTCTTGGTGCAAAAATACGTCACCACATCTGCAAAATGTATAATGAAATTGGTATTCCTCATGCAAAACTTAAATGCATCGGTTTACTATAGCCCCAGAAAACTTCGTGAAACAACTTGTTTTTCCTTTTTTGTCAGCTCAGTATTACTGCCTCATTGCTAAGTCCCTTTGGAAACAAGACTTCTGGAACGTTTGAACTTTTATTTAATTCTTTAAAGTATTACATACAAAAAGCACTAAAAAAGGAAGACGGCGGCCGAACAGGAACATTCCTGTTGCAAGTAACAGTCCTAGCAGTTGTAGAAAGTTTTCTCAGGAACTTCCCTGAGAGTTAGTTGTGCCTGTCCGAAGACGCAGATGTGACATAGAGTTCATGTGTTTGTTTGATGGCTTCAGTGGAGTGTTACAAGTAAGAGCCTGGGGAAAACGATGATGATACCGATCTAGTCGCAGGTATTTTACTGTTACCAGCTTTCCTACGAGGCAAAGAAACAGGAAAAGAGAAACCTTCTAGTTCAGTATTATTGCATTTTGCTTCAGGATGTAAAACACAACTATTTCATTACATCAAAATTAGGTTACTAATTATTAGTTTAAATTTTTTTTTAACTGCTCAATACTTTAGATACCAAATATTTCACCATTTAAAAGAACTCAAACTGCCCCCATCTTCCGCACCCATGGGTAATTTCTACCTATGTTTTGTTATAAACTCTCATTCCTTACCATCAAACCAAGAGCCATGTAATGCCTTGAAAGCCTTTCCAGCATACTCCGGGGAGAGACACTTGACATACACACAGCCCTAAGTAAGAGAAAGAGGGATTTGGGTTTTTTGCCAGTCCAGCTGAAAAGGATGAAGTATTATGACGTTACTGGAAAGACACTCACCTCACGTGAATTTTTGTCTACGGCAATATGAACAATTCCATCATTATCACTGCACTTCTCCAAGATTGCTTCTTGAATTGCTAGATGCCAGTGATCACCTATTTCCCTAGGCAAACAATGAAAGATTTAAGGGACTATGTAATTCTTTAAACATTCACAACATTCTCATACTTCCCTACTGAGTCTGGTTTCTCTGTAACTTTACATAATTTTCTGGTAAATGCCTCTGGGACAGGTTAAATACTTTTCCTACTGAATACACCATAAATTGGCTCCCATAGTCCACTTTAGAAAATTCAACCCTACAAATCAAGAGAAGTAACTTCTTTGGGGGGTGGGTTGTTGTCCTAAAATGGGCCTATCCAACTGGTGCTTAGACTGATAGTTAAAAAAACATGCTTCTGCCTTGCACAGTAAATGTCTAGAACACACAACAAAGTCTGATGCTGTGATGTGAGGGTTCATAATGTACAAGTGAACAAGTTGGACAAGTTGTTCCCTTGATATGATTCCTCCCTGACTTTTGGCAGTAGAGAGATGATTATGTGCTGTGCTAATATTAATAAAAAAAGTTAACCAGTATATTCCCAGATGATTCTCAAGCCAAGAAAAAAGACCTTTTTCATAGGGCTGCTTCTAACAGCTACTGGTGTAATCACTAAAAGGAATTCAGTAATTATTGTTAGTATACAGTCACTGTAAGAGCAGCTAAAACTAGTTTTGTTAAACATACCTTGTACCCACAGCAAACGTCAAAACAATACTTGACAATCTAATCACAGAGACTGGTACATTCTGTGTTTTAGGTGGTTTTAGATGGATGAAAGCATTCATCCCTTTCAGGTCTGGAACAAGAACATACGCCTCTTTCCTCTAATGACACAAGCAGATTAATAATACAGTTTATCTTGCACTGAGGGCTCTGGATTTCTGTTTGTGTTTTCTTTAAGATAACTACAAGGGTATGATAAGAACTATTTCCTTAAACAACAGTCCTCTGGAAGACAGCTCACAGAAGAAGAATGCACTAGGGAGTACAATATGGAATTGGATCCCACTATGAATGCAATCCAGCAGTCCAGTAATGGAGCTAGGTCAGCTTCCAAAAGAAAAGGTCTACAAAAATTCAGTGTATTAGAAGTTGCAATGTTCCAAATAGCTGACTGGACATAGGCACTAAAGACAAGTGTCAAAACACAATTCCTAGTCTATAAATGTTGGGGCTTTTAAATGGACCTGTTGGGCATGGACTGGGTCAGTACTGAAAAGCACTGAAACTTACAGCAAAGATAAAGGCTAAAAAGGGAGACTGTTATGACAAAAATAACACCTCAGTAATTAGTTCCATTAACAGCAGACATTTTGAACTGCTAACATTCTGAAACAGGAAAATAGCCGATACCACATACCAATAAATATTACAGTGAAGCTTCAGGAATGGACTTATTTCAGTACCACTCAGACTAACCAATACAGCTCACAAAATCTCCTTTGAAGCATCTACAATAAGGGTGTTGATAACACTTAAAATTCTCTGCAAATCCCATGTTTTAATCCTCCCACAGGAAGATCAATTTGCTTCAAGAACAACCCCTGAAATTTCAGTCTTGCTCACCCTACTCCAATCTGCAAATTATTATAGAAGCCACAGAAGCTGGTGTCTTTGACCAGACATTAAATCTTAAAGACATTGAAAAGGTTTTTGGAGTACTTCTCTATGTGAGAGGTAACACTGTCTTCAGCTAAATTAACTAACAGCTTTTCAGTTAATAAAGCAAGGAATTAAACTAATTAAGTGTGGCTAGAAAAAAGGCAGAATAAATACATCCAAACTTAACAATCACTTGTGTCCATACGCTTATGTCCTCCCCTGCTTCCTAGTTCCTGTCGAAATCAATAGGTTGTATTATTGAGGCAGCATCTCACATGTACCCTTGTAAGACACAGCACCTGTATTTTTCCCTTGTATAATCACATTAAAGAATAATTTACTCCAGAGATGTTATTGGAGTTCCTGTATCTCTTTACAGTGGACAAAAAGACTTCAAAGCTTAGACAGGATTATCTGGCATAACCTATGTGTTAGTTCCCAACTCCTACCACGATCTAGTCCAGAGTCAAAGGCGATATTACAGAAAAGTGGAATAGATGAAGATTTAAAAGATTACAAAAAAATTAATTCTTTTTCCTTAGCTTTTGGTACATTAAATAAGCTTGCTACTTATTCATACACAGTACATACTTCAGAATTATGAGAATTACATGAGCATTAGAAGCCAGTACACAGCACTAATTTGTTCCCACTACAAAAATCCATTTGCTTCAAAATTAGGCAGTCACAGTGCAATTAAAGTGATTTAAATTCAGCCTTTTAAATGCAAACTGTGCAAGCTTTGTAGCAGTCCAAATACTCCAGAATGTTGAACAATACTTTAAAAACTTACAATCTGTTGTCAGGCCACATGAGTCTCCTCTGTCAGTTAATACAATTGAACATTACAAATTTAATTAATGGATAAAGATCAGTCATTGCTCCAAGTAGTTTGACTATATGCCACATCCTTCAAGAAGTGAGCCAAAGACACAGAGCAATATAATGAAGGACAGAAGACAGATTGTTAAGATTTTTTATGTCTTCTCAAAGATGTTAAGAGAAACATTTTTTTTTACAACCTGCTTTTTTCAACATGTTCATGTTTCTTCACTTCTTCCAAACCCCTCTCAGAGGTAAGAAATGGACTCTTCCAAAAGAATGCAGAAATACAGACAGAAAACTGCTTTTACTTACATAACTGGATCAAACATATTGCGAATCTTTAGACATGGTGTCAAGCTGTTCGGGGGTGAATTTCTTCTATCTAGATGAAATGCTAGAAAGAAAAATAAATTAAATATTAATTATTTACAGGTATAATACCATTGAGGTAAGAAATGTCAACTTTATACATTAATACCTTTCTAGTTTTACTCAGAAGAAAGTTTATATCATATATGAAAGAATTCAAGCAAATTAGTTTCACACAGTCTTCTACCACACTGAAGAAAACATACCATATTTTGCTTAATTTTTTATACTTTAAACTTCTACATTTAAGACACTCTCTTATATCCAGGCCACATGGAAGGAATTCAGGATATTTTTAAAAATAACATATACTTGAAAAGAAAGGATTTGCACTACATCTCCATGAAAACACAGATATACACAACATCTGGAGTAAACTTTTGGAACTGGAAGTTAACCATACAGCTCTAACTGCCTGATGAAATTTTCATTTCTTCTACTTTGGGGCAATATGCTGCCCATTTGGCTAACAAATAAGGAGACCTTAAGATGGATGTTGCGTTACATTTGTAGTGCAGTAACATGTCAAGAATGCGCTAAAAGGACAGAGCCTTTATAGCCCTAAATGATCACACATGATCAGAAGCTTCTAAAAATCTGAAATGAAACATACCAGAGGATAAAACAGATACAAGAAGAAAAACAAAAATCAAAAATTACAGAGTAACTCAAAGCTGAACAGTGCCACAAAATACATTCTGAAATCCCAAAATAAATAGTAACTTCACTAAAGTTCACAAGCTCTACTTGTGAGAGTCACAAGAGAAGACTGTACCATGAGAAAAGGAATCAAGGGCCACTTCAGATTCAGATAAGGCAGCTCCATACCTTGAGAAGGGCCAACAAATCAGCAGTGGAAATGAAAGGGGATAGCCTAGTAAAACAGCTTTCAAGGCTTGAAGGAAATTTTACTTTGAAGACTGAGATTAAGTAGATTCAAGAGTTTCAACATATGATTAAAATCTCAACAACAACAAAAAAAAACTGCTATTAATGCTTCTCCTTTGCAATCCTACTTTAGAAAAATTCGACATTTTCAAGATGTTACATTCCAAGGGTCAGAAGTGTCTGTTTTGGGCAAATGTCTGTGCTTCTTACTGCTGATCTTTTAAAATCTTGAAAGTGCATCCAAAATACATGAACACTGCTGCTCTTCTGTATGCCACCCAAACAAAACCTGTGTCACACAGACAAAATTAAGTCATGTGGAAGACACAGCTTGTGAAAGACAAGCACTAACCAAGAGAAAAGTCACTGCCTGGAGATACTGCATAGAAAAACTTATTCTTATGTAAATTCTCAAGACAAATGAAATACAATTACAAACTAGAAATTAGAAAAGGTAGCCTCCAATTCTAATATCCAACCTACTGCAAGCTCCCCAAATAACTAGAAATGTTCTTATTAAGAATACATGCACACAGAGTGCAAGTCACCAACACCTGTAACAACTGTCTGTTTTTGTCTTGGGAAGAGATTTCTAAATATGCTGGTGACACTGCATCTATCTCTAAGCTGCCTATAATTTAAGGACAAGTCCTTTTTCAATAGCACATGGTTTTGTAAAGTTTTTTGCCCCTTATTAAAAATTATACATAGGGTATACAATAAAAACTTTACAGAACTAAGCAACATTGAAAAATACATGGACTTACCTTACTTATGGAGGTTGGCTCCAGCAGATCAAGGGGGGGGGGTGAAATGTCACCAGCATATTGTACACTGGGGCACCACACCATACTGGAGAAGGTGATCTGGGGTGGCCTAGTCATGGACCTGGACCTGAAAAGGTGTGGGGTTGAGGAAATTATGTGCTGATTGTTTATAACTAGGTTTATTCAGCACATGATTTTAATCCAAGGATAAAGAATGGCTAGGTTATTTGCAGAGATCCTAGACCCAGAGGATCAACATTTCTGCAAGCTATTTATGAACTAAAATCCATACTGATATTTATGGAAGCAGTTAAACCACTGAGCTATCCAAAAGTAACTAAATGGGGAATTCACCCTTTAGTGTAGTTACCTATATAAACCATTATTTGCCTGTTCCAGTTTCTAATAACTTTGATGTCCTTTTGACTGGAAGATCTCAGATGCTTACTGAGATAACCTAAGCCAGAGTCTACCATCAGCACAAGACTAAACTGCTTCTAACTTAATGTAACATCCTACCAGTAGGGAAGTGTGCCCAGGGCAGTGCAGCATATGAAAATAAGGAAGAACTCTGTCTTTTCTCAAAAAAACTTCTCAAAATCATGCTAAATTAAAAGTAATTTTTGCAACTTAGATGGAGCTTTTCATGTATAAGGGAAAAAAATTACCATGGAAATCAGTGAACTCTGAAATTAATGCTAGAACAATAATAAGCCTTAATATGTATACCAGAAATGGCATCAAAAAGAGAGGGTAGAGAAGACACAGGCAAGTTAATGTTCTATCTACACAGCAAAACTGAAAGCAGCATAGTTAACTGATGTCTCTTGAACTTCATTTCACATCTGTAACAACTGATTCTCCCCTCCCCTAAAAGAAGTTGTTTCAGTGACAAAGCTGTTCAGAATAGAGTATTGATTATTTGAAAAGTTACACTAGTGTGGAGCATACAAAATATTCTTGATAAGGGCATAAGCAAACACTCTTGCAGGACAACAGTATAAGCTACACACTGGTTAACTAAGTATCTCACATCTTTTTCTACATAGGTCTAAGGAGTAATGCTTACAAGACAAAAGATGAAAAGGTAGAGATGAAATAGGGAAGCAGAGACACAACTTTGTAGTAAGCCACTGGTGGGAAAAAACTCAGGACTTTCATAAATTCCCCATGGGGATTACTGAGCACTCAAGAAAAGGAAGCTATTTTTTCTTTAATTCATAATGTACATTATTTTACTACCTTAAACCGAATATCACTATCATTCTAGATTTGAAGAGCAGCAGTAGCTAAACACATGTGCTTTTGTCAACCCCTTTATTACTGTCTATGATGGAAGAAGTATCTCTTGCACTGGCTTCAAAATGACCATTGAAGAGATTGCAGTACAGCTTCCTATATCCCTTGAATTACTAGCATATTATTACAAAAGGAGTTCCCAAGTATCATCACCATGGGTTACAAGACAACCCAAAAGATCTTTAGATGTAAATTTGATGAACCTGATAAGGCTGAATACTTGCATCAAATATAGGTAACCATGTTTCTTAAAACTAGGTTTTTTCAATGTTAAGCCATGGATCACTGCAATTTAATAAGTACTAACCCTTCTTACCAAAGGCAAGAACAAAAAAGAAAACAATTATCTGAAAATATTGAAAATATGTTCTTTTATGCATCATGAGGTTCTTTAATATACATGGAAGATACTGAAATTAATATCACCAAAGAAGAGTATGGTTGAATTTAGGTTTAATATAGCTAATTCAGCTATAGAAGACAAATACAGGATGGATACTGAATTTTACAAGCAGCATGAAATCCAGTTTTCTTGCAATAGTTCAGAGTATAATTGTGGTTTGGGGTTTTTTGTTTGTTTTTGTTCAGAGAAAGGATTATGTTCTCACAAGCTGGGGAGGAAGGGTGTCATTCACAAAAGGTAACAGGTTATCTTCCATGCTGCAGGATGAAATATCACCCTAGATGTGGTACCTCAGAGAACCTCTTTATCTCATCTCCAGAGCTGTCAAGGAACTTTAGCTTGTACTGTTAGCTTAGCTACACTGCAGCCCTGCCTACCTAGCTTTCTTCAGAGTTCCAGTTATCAAAGGTGAGATAGGACAATTGTATCTGTTCTTTCAAAAGCAACCTGAACACACTAGAATTGTGGGGTTCTCTCCACTGTGAGATTTAATTAAATCACTTGGCATGATCAAGATTGTTTCTCAATTGACTATTCTCTTGTATATTGTTTTCAAAACATTGTATTTGTTCACCCTACAATTAGCTTACCTACCCTTTTCTTTTTAACAAATACAGCTACTGTATCCAGTAGGTAATATTTCAAAGGGATGGCACCAGAATTTATTCTGATCCAGAAAAAAAAAAAAAAACAAAAACAAACCAAACAGTCAAAACACAGGCTGCACCCTGAAGGACGGGACAAAATGTCACAGTGATGCTTTAACACACTGCTAACAGACAGCAGCATTAGATCTCAGGCAAGCTACAGGTCCCAAGAGTTAAAATGCACACTATCATTAATGCACACCCTTGTAAAATGATGACAGCCTTTCTGAAAAGGGTTTCTTCTTCAACTGCACATGTTCAAGTATTGTTCTCTGCTAAAGAGCATTACCAGATCTCAGATGGTTAAAAAATTGCAAGCTTGAAAGTTATTCACAAGATTCAGACCCAAGAATTCATTATGATTTTCTATATGCTGAGTCTGTTGAGGGCATAGCAGTCTTGAGGAGTATCTAGATTTATGAACTTATACATTCAAACATCAGAACTGGAGTATGAACTTAAATTCCAGTTAATGCATACTTCCAAGAAAGGAAGAAAGTGACACATACATGTAGAACTCCTAACATCAGGAAAGAAATAGCTGGGCAAGAAGCATGAGACTTATGCAACAGAACTATTTCCAACAGTCATTTGAACACAAGAAGTGCAAAATAGAAAGAGCCTTTGCATGTGAAAATCGCCTTTGCCTGCTGACTGTCGTGAGCCCAAATAACCCACTGTCATTTCAGCCACCCCATTTCCACGCCCTTCTGTTAGAGCCAAAGTATGCAATTTCAGCTCTTCAAAGATCTTCACTAAACTTCAAACATAACAAGGAAATCAGAGAAATTGTAATTCAAAGGACTGCAACAGAATGGATTTTGAAACAGGAAGTTGTAGTACATACTCTCTAAGCGACATACAGATGAAAGCCACAGCTGAGAGATGAAGTTATTCTGTCCATATTTGCAATAAGCTGAAGCAGGTTATCAGATGCTCAGACTGGGATGGTGCATATCAGTATTACTACAGCAGTCTTTCTAGGAAGTTTTAGAGACCACTGGTCTGTTTACAGTCTTGAATGTATATTACAGGTAGCAAAACACCACCTGAGCTATCACACACTGAGGGGTCTCCAGGTGAGGAGAATCCAATCCCATTTCTAATACAGGACAGAATAACATGGAGTGATTTATACTGCAGTCAAACAGGACAAGAAAAACTGAGAGCAAATGAGCTGCAAATTGAAACCAGAGCATGATGTTTCCCAGCCTGCATTGAACACTACAATATGTAGAAGACTCAGATTTATAATACATATATGGTTTGCAGAAGATGTGTTCAATTTAAGTGCCTGAAATTCAATTGTGGCAGTACTACAGAGATGGAACAGAAACAGCTGTTGACAAAACCCACCATTTCTGTATTGCAACTAAAGTGCTTGCACATCCCTAATGTACAATGTCCTGGAAAGAAAAGGTTCCACAACTCCTGGAATAAAGTTCACATACACATCTCACTCATGAAAACTTTGAGAAATTAAGCAATACAGTTGTCACAGCAGAATGCCACATTACTACTAATGCAAACAGAACCTCAAGCCTGCAGCAGCATTCATGTGGTACTTTTAAAAAAGCAGCCCTCATTTCCAATGAATTATTTAAAATGAGAAATGTAATGCTAAAACCAGTAGTATAAGTTTGAGAAGTATATAATGATATTACTTACTTTCACACTCAGGCAGAGATAGAAATGACCATTCTTTTTAAATTGCAAACCAAAATTCAAATCCTATAGTTTCAATTTTTCGTTGACAAAAAAAAAGAGCAAACCAAAACCTGAAGCTTAACATGAAGAAAACAGAAAGAAAAACCAAGAAAGGTTTTTCAAACCAGGAAAATATGACCACTGCAGACATACAACTGCAAACCTACTAAATTCTTGCCATTTGGTTTCATGATAAAACTGAAAAGTGACAGACCACTGAAAAATCCATGTATGACAAACTGCCTTCTCTATTAAAGCAAATGCTGACCAGAGAGTCTGAAAAACAAATGGAGTGTAGAAAAACATTTATGACAGAGATAGAACATCTAACAGTATTAGATGTTCCAAATGCACATTTTCCTAATTGAGGAGTCTTTTGTCCTGGCAATTTCCCTTTTAAAATAATTATCTCTTCCCCCTAACTTTGTCTTTAGGCAGCTTACTGGCAACTTAACAGTAGGAAACCTAAGTCTGCAAGACACAATTTACTTGCTGTCATACACAATCAATTACACTACTAACAGTAAGTGTGAGCATGTCAGAATGTGACCAACTAAAGAGTATTCTTTTTAAATTCACAAAAAAAGAAATAGTAACTCACTTTGGCTAAATACCCACTGCCTATTTCTGCAGTAGCTATAACAAAAAAGCTACCTTCTCTTGAAAACAAGGCAGACACAATGCACCAAAAGTAAGTCCATACAACAAGATAATAGAGAAATAGCACTAACAGTTTATAACAATCCTGAAATGCAAGAGAGAAAACAAGTCTTTCATGCCTGTTTTCAAGCAACAGAGTACTATTTTTAAGTTATAATTGTCTTAATTCTGCATCTATCTGCAAAATACGTCTTCAATACCTTGGCCTTGCCACACTTTCGATGGTATCACTAAAATTTTGTCACATGCTGCAGAAGGTTGCATCCACTTCCAGACCAAGAACTCGGCACCACCCACTCTTCGTGTCTCTGTGCGAACCCTAGATTCATTTGCTGCAAGAAAGTCAACTGCTCTGTTCCAGACTCTATTCATCTTCCTCCTTAAAAATTGAAACAAGAATCACAAAGTTAGCATAACAACAACTTGCATACTTGAATCCAATGTAACAGAATCCAATGATTTTCCTACCATCTGTGTCAATAGGAAACTCCAAAATACTACACTGTGCAATCTATTAAGAAACTAAGTTATTTTTATCTGAAATTAAGTTACTTGACCAATTTATTTTTACTAGTTTTCCCCCCCTTTCAGTACTTCTAGTGAGAACGCACCTGTCCTGAGGTGGTATTAGAGAATCACGCACATGCAAAATTGGCATGTAAGGCTGCAACTCTTTATTTTCTGAACACGCCTCACTGTGGCTTCTTAGAACATCTGAGGACAAAAAAAAAGAAACCAAACTGATAACTATGTAGCTCACGCAAACATTAAGAAAACTATCACTTCAGGCAATTAAAACCCACGCTGAACACTCTTCCTGATTTCAATAGTTAGGTTTTTCTGGCATTTTGAATCATTGTTTTTTCCAAAACATTCTTAAGGCAAATTAACAGCGTATCTAGATATCCCAAGTAACTCTGAAGTAAAGGAAGATAGTTCTTACATTTACTCTTGACTGGTACTTTTTAAGTGTTAGTAAAGATGGCCATCTTTGAAAAAAAAGTGCTTTCCTTCCACCTCAACAAAACTTGATTTGCAGACAAAAAAGGTAGGCATATGGTTAAAATAGAACAGTTTTGATTCCTCTACCATCTCTGTATTTATTGTGACTACCATAAATGAAAGTAATAGAACAACTTAACTAAGACTACAAAACTACAAAACAGAAAGACTACAAACTGAACCTACTGCTAACACTGTGGCTTCAAGTAGAAAGAGAGGATTTCAGATCTCAGTTACGCATACTATTTTGCCAAAAAACCTTCTGCTAAAAGTAATTAACTAAAAAAGCTGCTTTTTCTATGAAAAAAACATTAAGGATGGTATTGAGAGCTACCACACATTTTTGGAGTGGATATTTTATCTGAAGTTAGCTGAAAAAACACATACAGAAAGCAACATGTCGCTATACTTCAGTAAACAAACATCACATTTATATTTGTATTCAATAGGAGGACAAAAAACTACCAGTCAATGGCAACTTTATAGCCATGTTGATGTAATTCACAAATTACAAGCTTCATGACAAAAGCTTTGATTAGGTTGAAAGGATGGGGTATTTAAATAAAAAAAAAAAGAGAGAAATAAAACACACAGATCACACTGGACCAAGAACTCTAACAGTATGACAACTAAACATGAAAAAACATTAACTGAATTAATTAACAGTACTCTGAAAGCTTATACAAAGCTGATACAGATATATCAGACACAAATTAACATGTCATACCTATGATTTTCACCACCATATCATACATCTGCTTTGTTTCTTCTTCCTCTTTTGCCCAACGGTATTTCATGTAGTGTAAGACTCCCCAAACCATTGCTACACCTGCATTAACATGGATAATACACTTTAAGCAGTATTAGAGCACCGGATATTTAACAGAGTTTACAGAGCGTACTTCAGAAGTAGACTGAGCGATCTAACAAGCACTGTACATTCCAAAACTAGTGAAGTACACTGTACTTGTTGTCTGTATTTTACACTCTTATACAGGAACACAAACTCTTCCACTTGAAAGAGCTGTTACTTCTAGGAAAACATTCAATTGTTTTAAGAATAGCTTAGTATTCCAGATCATCTTTTCTTCAGTTATTTTTTAAACTTCCTGGAACAACAGTGAAATATCCTCAAAATTAAGGCTATCATCTTTTTACTGAACAGTTTGCTTTTTCTGGTCAGTTCAACAGGGAACTTTTGAAAGTCATAAGTTACTGCTCTGGCAGGGAAAAAGATTTCCCAAAGAATTAATATGTTCAGCTGACTACAGAAGCAGATGATAACAACCAGTGTGGAAATACAGTGGTGCAACAGAAATGCATATCAAACCCCAATTTAATCAGGATACAAACGGAAACTCTAAGTTTTATGGCTGAATAAAAACTTTCTCTAAACTTGCTTTTCCCTATGCACTTAGATAAATATGATTTACAACAAAAAAAGGTTGATTGTTTTATTAACTTACCCCAAAGCAATATTGATAATCTGTGAGTTACATTAACAAACGCACGGCGAAAACGACACCTGAAAGACATCTTTGGACTAGTGGACTCCAGATACTTCACATCTGTCACGTTAGTGACTTCCATCTCACTAGGGTCATTGCTGAGACACCTATTCAAAAACATACAGTACTTATGAAAAAGGACACATTCTCTTAGAAGAAATTAAATGAAGAAATAAACACCACTTACTTTATGCCAACATCTTCCCCACTATTCAAGATCCATTGTAATGATGTGTTAAGTACACTTTCATATTCTGGATCTAAATTCTGTCAAAATACAATATTAATCAGTAATTTCATAAATAACCAGGGACTTATCATGCAAATAAAACTGAGATACTATACAGAGCAGTAGTTAAAACTGTATTGTTTCGTTCCTGATACTTCAGATTTTCAGTACGTGTCCACTGCACAAAGTAAATCTATTTGTGCTACAAGCAGTTCCCAGACTCACCAGCATTCCTCAAACTAAGGAGTATTTGAAAAGCCAAGCCACGTTCACTGTTTTAGTCATAACTCTATAGAGTAAGAAAAAACTATTCAGCCACTAGGCGGCGATCGCTGGAAATCTACTGAGAGCGAAACTTCAACTACATCTGAACTCTGCTGGAAACGCCTCCTATGAAAGCAGTTCCATGCTCCATTCTTTTTTAAGAAGCTTGAGTAAATATAGCTTTAACAGATATTTTGAAAAAAAAATCCAGGATTTGTAGATCAAGAACTGACATCACTACATTGACTTTTAAAAAATTATTTTATATTAATTCTAATAGGATAACACTCACTGCTATCTGAGCTAAGGCTTTTCTCCATAGCTCATCTTGCATGCTCTTTTGCAGAAAGAGAAAAGTGAAGATGGAAGTAACTGTTGTATTTGAAATTACAGTCCCAAAAAAGTTTTATTTTCATCTTTCCTCTGAATCTCACGTTGGCTTAGAATCCAAGCATAAGTACTTAAGAAAAGACAGTAATGGTTTTATTTTACCTTTGAGACTAAAGTATTGAAAATTTTATCACTGAACACACAAATTCTGCAAAGAAGCTGTATGGTTAAATAAGATTTCCTACAAAGCAACAATTTTTCATATTAAACTTGAGCTTTCTAGCACAGCTAAAACAGTTATGGTAACAGTGAACAGTTATGTCATTTTTTCAGCATAACAGATAGGCAACACAATCAGCTCTAGGGCATAACCTTAATTTTTTCCACAATGGACTGATTTTAACTGATATAGATTATTATTGCCAAACCATAAACCAGTGTTAGCAGCTTCTTTGGGATGCTCTAAAGCATTGCCCCTTTTTGTCTATTACATACACATTTGCCAAAACATAAGATTTCTACACATTTGTATATTACATACATCAGTTTACCTCCTCCCCATCCAATCAAAGAAATCTTACACTCTCTGCCTCTTAAAAGCTTCAAGTACTTTTCCACTGAAGGGTACACCAGCATGGGCTAAAATAAACCCTACAGCTGTCAAGACAAGGCAAGAGTCATCTTTTATTTGGGGATGAGGCAGGGGAATAACAGCGAGTGGGATTTCAAAATACTGCACAGTGATCAAATTAACAAAAAGGACTTTTTTTGACCATTTCTATTTAAAGCATCAATGAATAGCCTCTCCAAACAGCTGCTGCCTGTCAGGCTGCTTGCACAGATCTACCCATCAACCATACTCCACAAAGAAGGGAAGAGTATCCCTTTCTACTAAGTCTCAAAAACCAAAACAGTGATTTTCAGAGAAGCATCTAGATATTTGAGTATTATAAATTTATTTTCATCTTGGTCAACTATTTCCATCGAAAAAGCCCTGCATGTCACTGAAGCACTGCTCGCTACACTTCCATTGTCATTAATTCTGTTTCTTTTATCCTCCCTCTCCCCAAATGCTCACTACATCCCCAAATAAAAATCATATGTAGTATGTATTAAAGTCATCAGTTCTGATAATTTCTAAATACTATTTAACATTAAGTCAAATTTTAGTCAATACAGTAGATACAAAAACAGGCCTTGCAAATTGTAACTTATACAGATCTTCTATACAATCAATGAAAAATAACTCATTTGCTTACTTTTAAATATGCAGCTGCCTCCTGGACGGTAAGGTTTCTTTGAATAGAGCTGCCACATTCATGTTCCCCTGGTAAAATGAAAACTATAATTTTAATCTATTTATAACTGCATTATATAAAACAAAATCACCTAAACACCAGCTTATGGTTAACAACACTTACACAAGCAGTCTTAGCAGTACAGTAATTCTCATAGGTTCCACTAAAAATATGGAAAAACTCTCTGCACAAATTTCTTCTTCAAAAGAAGTTTAAAAACCCCGATGATTTTCAGAACTAATAATATGCACAAATTACAGCAATACAATCTCATGTGCTGTTTAGAAAGTGTGTTTTGGTATTTACACCAAAAGCAGAATAATAGGCAGCATGAAGAACTGTCAGAAGGACATTACCATAAAAGTTACTGTACCCTGACTCAGCTTCCAGATAGTTTCCTTTAACTCCAAAACCTGTATTATCTTTTATAGAGCCCAAGTTCCAGTTGAAATACATCCACAGTATTTCAGGCACTATGAAATTACCACATTTTAGATTGGCCTAAGTTATTCTCATTGCTTTCCTGAACCTGCACAGAATCCCACTATAGCTTGAAACAGGCACTTTTAACATCTTCTATTGGTTTTGGAATGTGTGCAGAAGTAGCCAGGAAATAAGGTATTTATATGCATAGTCAGTCCTCAGAGCAATGTGCCATCATCTCCCTGGTTTTCTCTGCTAAACTAAAGGTACATGGTTAATGCAATGAACGAAGAAGTAGTGAAAGTAGTGACAGTCATATCAACACAAAGCCATACAGAAAAGGAAAAGGTCTAACGCCAGTTTTCCATCACTAGGCCATCATTTCTGAAGAACTGTCAGCATTGGCAAGACACTTTTTCCCCTGCTATTTCTTCAAAAAAACCCTAAATCTTGGCATCTGCAACTATGTTTTTACTGTGCCAAAACAATAAAATAGGAAACAACAAACCCAGTCTTTCACTGGCTGAGTGTTATGCCTGCCTTACCTTCTTGAATCTATGCCAAGTTGTACTATTCCCAAAGCTATAGCAAGGCTAAGAAAATTTAAGATACTTGTGCTTTTGTAAAATGTAAACCTTCACTTACATTGGAATATATTTTTTGAAAAGCAATTTCAAGTATTAGTTCCCTACAAAAACAAGAACATTCAAGGCAATGTGAGCAAAAGTTAGGAAACACTAGCAAGTTATGGAGAAGCACCTTCACACCTCACTCATTTGGACTTCCAAAGAAATACACATTTCTATGAAGCCAAAGTCCGTCTCAGACTGCAGAAGTTTTGTTTAATACACTTTAACAGATTTAAGATAATTTGGCCTTGCAAGCACAGTAGTCTAACAGGGATGCTCTTACTGCTGGGATATAGAGAAATAGGAGCAGTGTTTGTAAGAGTGCTAACTGGCCTAGAAGTGCTGCTGGAACTCAGCCTGTGTGCATGCATGTATTTTCAATCAAGCACTGAGCAGAAAATTTTACAAGTTGTTTCACTTGAAAATTAGCATGCAACATCTAAGACTTTTAAAGTGCCTGAGTCTACTGTAATCGCAAAACTAGACAGATCACTGCTGAAAATGGACACCACTTTCATAAAATCCACTCTAATTTTAGCACCTGAATTGGAGCTATGGGCTTTTCTTGTATGTAATTTAGGCAGACTTTGGTTTACAGCCTAAACTGTACAGCCTGTAAATTTACATGTATAATCATCATCATTTCATGTTTCAAGATGAGCAGACTTAGAATAACTATACATCGTACTCATACAGTCTCTGGAGTAAACATATTGTTTTAAATCTAGAATTGATAGAATGAATACAAGAAACCCAAAACATATCTCTGTAAAAGCTGTATGTACAATTTACACCTGATACTAAATTGTATGACATGAGCAAGTCTGAACAGGTATTCCTACATTTAAGCCTTCTCTCTTGTTTGGTAAGACCAGAAGTCTTTCTGAGGTCTTTTTAATACAGATAAAGCATGTCAGTCATACTTTGAACAAAACAGCTCGTGAGAGAAGGGGGATGAGACCCTTCTGCTAAGCTTTGCTTTGGTTGTTTTTTCAATTATCCAGATTAGCAGAAAAGTCCTGTTATGAAATAAATGGGAGAGAATAAAAAGGGTGAGGTTAATATGCAGATGAGAAAGCAAAACAAACACACGAGCAGCAGACAGATTGTGAAAAATATGAATTCTTAAAAAGAAGTTTCAGGGTTCATGTTGGACTTTCCACTTTCTGAGAACACAGCATTGCCTTTTACAATAGAACAAAAGCTCCCTTAGGTAGGGGACTACTAAATTACTTTAGTAGTTTTAAATGCTAATCTTATGAGCCTTCTTCCAAGAATTACATTTATGCAGCACCCAGCCAGCACACTGACTTAACAGCTTCTGGTCTCATCTTCGGAAATCAGCAGACAGTTTCCTCTCAGTCCTGCTGCTGAATTTTTCTTCAAATTGTATTCCCTCTGAACAAGTTTAACAGTTAACAAAACCTTTGCTGCCTGGGCTCTGTCAATGTCTAAGGCCCATCAGTTCAAATTTCCCTCAAGCAATACTGGGGCAGGGGGGAGAGTAATAAAAATCACTTTCATCTTGTCTCCCACTTAAAAAAAGTAAGCTAATCAGTTATGGAGTTTCAGTCTTGTACAAAAAGCTATTGGAGACACAGTTTCTCATTTCAACACATCTTTTGCTGAGATCCATTTAACAGCTTTCTTCTGAGAAACTCATGAATTTGAAAGCTTGCAGAAAGTTAGGCATTTCACAAGCCAGACAACCTTCTGTTTTACTGCAACAGCAGGATATTCCTATATGCCATTTCAGTCACTGTGTTAGCTAATAGTTCTGCAAATGAAGGCTTACTTTGAATAACTTTGGTGCAATCATTAACCACTTGGCCTGGAAACCCACTTTCCATAGTCTGAGCCAAAAATGTTTCCCACTGTTCCATTTGAGGCCCTATATTCAGGAATGAAACTGAAGCACAGGCAAAAAAACTTTACACAAGGCTGCTGCAAGATACATCTCATCTCTTTGTAAAAACTGCCCCTCTGTTATAATGTCTGCTGTGAGCTTACTTTAGAAAGCATGAATCTTTGAGCTTAAACTTTCCTTGGCTACTGATCACCAACTTCAAGAGCAACCAAAGAACCTCTGCTTTTGAAGGGAGGCAAATAGCACATCCCAGCAAGAACCACAAAACTACACTTTAGCTTATGTTAGTGTATTTGGGCAAGCCACTTAAGAAGTAGAATTCTTCTAAAACCACTACCAAAAAAGTAACTAAAGTTTCAATTCAAAGAAATACTTATTATGCCTCAACTGCTTCTAATATAAAAACCAAGTCAGATCTTTTTTTCTATGCAGGCTAGAATATTTGAAATTGACTTTTATTTAGGCATTTAACTTATGAGCTGGAGCATATACAGGCAACAGAAATATTTAAAATTTTGAAGTATTTGCTTTACTCTGTAAGTAATTTTCTTACTTGGTAGCAGAATGCAGTGGAAATCTAGTATTTCAAAGAAGACATGGATTTAGCACAGATCTCTCGCTTATAGCTGGATATGATATGGCCACCAATACAAACTGCAAACTGGGGACAAGACATTTGTTCAGTAAGTCTCATGTTTTCAGGCTACCTGCAGCAGAACACTGAAGTGGGCAGCTCAAGAAAAGCAGAAGACCAAGAGCAAGTAAGAATGCCTGATCTTCTAAAGGCAAATTCAACAGCTCAACAACACTGCAGAACACCAGAACTTGCCAAACAGCTGTTTAATCACTGGTTGGAAACAGCACAGTATCAATCACCTGAAAAATCAAAGATTAGGAGAGTGACAGAACAGAGAGCCTGCGACAGCCATCAGATATAGTAACTCATACTTGAAATTAATATTAAAATAATGTTAGGTGGTTTGCCAGGTTTTTCCTCCCAGCCATGGATTTATCAGGAAGCCTTATTACATATGAAAGCCTAATTCACCCCTGCATTTCAAGGACCCGTGAAAAGAAGGAAACTGTCTAAATCCGATAGACTGTCACACTGAAGAATGCAAGAGAAGTGGCTACCTAAAAAATCATTTATCTACAAGAAAGGGTCATATCCATGGGTGGCTGGTTGCTTCTTGTGACTATAGTGGTTAGATTTATTAATTTTGCAAGTCTGACTGAAAATGGATGTGATCTCTTGAAGTCTCTCCATGAAGGACCAAAATATCCAGTAATTAACATATGCTGAAGTAACTCTAATTTTTAAAAAGCAGGTATTTTGTTTTAGCAGAAAGTGTTGGATACTGAAATATATACTGTTTATAAAAAGTTGCTGTTTTGAAGAATGGCTAAGCCATTCAAGATAAGAACACGGGAACACAAATTTCAACTCAAGGGAGAAGCACTATCTGCTCATCAGGTTCTGAGTTTCCTGTGAGGCAAAAAATGACTCACTATAGGTTTGGCAGCCCAGTAATTCTGAGAACAGTGATGCATTAAAGGCAACCCATTTCTATAATGGATAATGAAATAATTTGACAACATATTGGAGCACCACAGTCCAGAATAGGTATCTACAATTGCAACATGGTATATTAACTCAAAATGAACAAACTATTACTCTGACATTTTCTTCCTTAAAAAAATTAATGTTCAATCTTCTATAATAAAAGCCCCATCACTTGCCCTCCATTTGAAGTTGACAAGGTAAGAAAGTAGATCAGTAAAAATAATGAGTCTGTTTTATTAAACAGAGCTAGAAACCAAATTTTGAGGGGACCATCTTTATGGTAGTCAAGATGTTGAATAAAGCTTAACAGAACAGACTACTTCAAGTTTCCAGCCTGCCTTTTTAATATTAATAGTTATAACATGAACAAATGATTCATAGCCAAGTATGAAATGAGAGAAACTTTTCCAAGTATGTGACAGAGAGACCTGAAAGGCACCACTTTGTGTAAATCTGTATTCTTTAACTTCTCTTTTGAAGTGGTGCACTGTGCACAAGATCAACACTCTTAAATCCTGCATCTCCCTTAGAGCTTTCTATGTTTTATGCCTTTTAAACTGCTTCCAGACAGTGTGCCAGGTCTACATCAATACAGTATTCAAAACTGGATGGCAGACATCGTCCTCTCGTATCTTAAGAAACTTAGCATTGAAGAGAATTTCTGTCTAAGTAAAGACGGATTAGGTCCTTCTTCAGACTGTATCAAAGCTACTCCACTGAGCAACCAGGTAATCTCACATTACAGCTCCAGTCTGGAGTACCACCTAACCAGACAGGATAGTTCTATTTTTCAAAAGGAAGCATTTGAAGATCCTTCTGGCCAGAAACAGACTACTGGAGAAAAATGCATCTTTGAGACCTAGTGAAGCAAGCAGCTGTCTTGGAGCATACAAATTCTTCTTCATAAGGCAGACAGGTAAAGATTTGTACACTGAAGTAAGCCCCAGCTAGTAAAGAAAATTCCCTTTCTTTCATGGATGTAGAAATTATGTGCTAAACCTTTTTACCCATTTAGTACATTGTGTGGCCCCTGGAGGGCCAGATGACACACTGAACAAACAGCAAGCTGTTACACTCTTCAAAAGAGAGGGAAGCAGCATGACAGTGATCTAAGCAAGGAAAAGCAGCAATCCCCTGGAACGCTCAGCTATAGTACAGTCTGTGTCAGAAGACAAAGATGATCAAGAGACTGGAGCATCACTCTAATGAGGAAGACTGAGGGAGCTGGACTTGCTCAGCCATGAGAAGAGACAACTGAGAGGGAACCTCATCAATGCTATAATTATCTGAAGGGAGGAAGTCAAGAGGATGGAGCTGGGCTCTTCTTGGTGGTACTCAGCAACAGAACAAGAGACAATGGGCAGAAACTGATGCACAGGAAGTTCCACCTGACCGTGAGGAAGAATTCTTTACTGTGTGGGTGACTGAGCACTGGAACAGATGGTCCAGAAAGCATGTGGAATGCTTCCCTTGCTGGAGATGTTCAAGAACCATTTGGATGCAACCCTATGCCCTGTGCTCTGGGATGATCCTGCTTGAGCAAGGAGGTTGGCCCAGATGACCCACTGTGGTTCCTTCCATGTTGGCCCATTCTGGGATTCTCTGATGTAAACAAACCAAAATATGTGGGGCTTGTCCAAACACCTATTTTATTCACAGCAGACACCATAAATGCTGTGGAAACAAAATGTTTCTGCATGAAGATAGATTACTGTTGCAATGTACAGGGTATTACAGAGCTGCTCAAATTTCTCACACATTTCCTATACAGCCCTGACATATTACACTGTTGGCTTTGTATCTGACACAGAGCTGTTTCCACATTTTTTTCATGTTTGCAAAATGTCTGTAGCACCTGATAATAATGGAAAAGCCTTCTTGGTAAAACTTGCTGATGCCAAACAAATGGTTGGCACAAACACCAGTAAGACCTCCTGAATACATGATGGGTTAAATATGCAAGGATGATAAAAATGGCTTAATAGTCATGACACAGACTCAGCTGTAACTCTCATTTACCAGATGCCAAAGTAATAATCACAGCCTTAACTTCACCATTTCCGATGTGCACAGTTTAAAGCTGCGTTCCTTACGACTCTAGATAAAACCACCCTATTTTTTACTTTGAATATTCAATAATACTATCCCTAAACACCAAATCTGACACATTACTATATGCAGCACTTTTCATTACTGTATAAGTCATATGGTTAAGTTGGACATTTTATCTAACAAGGCAATCTTGTTCAACCATTACTGTTCACTTTATTAGTAACCATTTTAACACAGTCGCAAAATATTTTATTTTCTCCACTGTGAATTAACAACCTTTAAGAAACCCACACAGTCCTCTTCACATATAGTAAATTCAATTTAAGCCTTTTAACAAAATGAGATTGCTAAAGTATTCAGGCATCGGGTCAAAAACCACACAGGATCACAATATTCAAGAGCCTATCTCATTAGCAAACATTGCAGCAAAAGGTGCAACACTGGTGGAAAAAGACAGTGAACTAGAAACAGGATTTCAAGTTCCCCAAAATGGAGCTCTAAATGGCTATCAGAGACCCAGTTATTGTAAATCACTATCTGAGCAGAGACTTTTATGTTGCCATAATGTTACATCACAGTATTTTTTACGTGTTACCTGCTACTTGTGCCAATTTATCATGAAGTGCATACAAGCTCTTCATCATGAGACTTATTTCATCTTCCTAGAATGAGAAAAACATATTTATGTTAAAACAAGCAGTAGTACAGATGTACTTTTTTCCTTTTATCCCCAAAATCTTCAATTACCATGAGGAAAAACCCCACGGTTTAAATATGCAGGTAGGAAGCTGTAATGTCTCACACACCAACAATGATGCAGGCAATAGATTCTGAATCCAAATATACACTACACTGAATTTTCAGATCTTGACTGAAGCTGAACTAGATTGCAGCTTGGACTCTGATGGATCTGCCAGTTCAAACCAAGAGAATCTCAGCAGTATTTTGATACTACCGAGAGAGTAGTGAAATGACTCAAAAGAAATCTGTTTTGTTTGGGGTGGGTTTTTTTTGATAGCTACTGTGTAAAAATAAAAGTTTTATTGTTCATAAATGTGCTGTGGCATTTTATACAAGCCACACTAAAGTACCATCTGGTCACATTCCAGCATAAAATTCAAGCAAAGGAAGGCTTTTGTTGCCCACCTTCCAACTACAGTAATTTAATTTAAAAAAAACCAACCAAATAAACCACCCTCACCAAACAAAAAGCCAAAAGAAAGCACACCAGAAAGCTGTGAACTATAGTGTTGATACTTCCTTCATACACTACAAAACAAAAAGGCCTAATTCCCAAAAGAAGCATGAATATGAGATGCTACTTACAGAGGAGTTAAACTTATCAAGATATCAAGAAATTTATTTAAATATGACCAGGAGCATTTTATATTTAGAAGCAATTATTCAAAACATGAAGACAAAGAACATGCAATTACATACACAATTATGTACACTGAAGGCTATTCTGAAATGTTGAAGTTTTATCAAATGGCTAGGACTAAAGCCTTCATTCCAAAAAATACTCAAAAAAGTAATTTTCCAGTGTGTGCATATGCTGATTATACTAATTTTGAAAAAAAAATAACTATAGAAGGCTTAACTCACTGATGCACCAGCATTATTGACATAATTTTAAAATGTGCATAGTCCATTTTTTTTTCTTGTAAGAAAATTGCTACCAGAAAAGCAAAATACTTCTTTCATCGATCAAACAATGGACAAATTATTTCCCAACAGCACCAATTACCAGCATCATCTCTCCCTATTCTGGTACTAGAAAACCATCACTGAGATTAAGTTGATGTGGTTGATACTCCTCAGGAAACTAACCAATTTCATTGACTGATTTCCTGGCTGGAGAACACTCTGAATGGCAGAAGGGGAAAATCAGTCTTCCAGCACACACACACCACCAGCAGTGCATCAAGTTAAATTTACTTGCCAGTAGGCACACCCAAGACTTCACTAATAGCTACACTGAGATGAACATGAGAAATTTTACTGTGACCATTTTTTTCTAATTAACAGTTGGACCACATAAAAGAAGCAACTGAGCAGTATAACCTTTGTAGCTAACAAACAATCAAGCATGGAAAAGGATTACTATGGAACAGTGTAGTAGAAACAGGAGTAAGTAACATATAGACAAGGCTCGCAGGCCAAGTCCAGTGAACAAAATGCATTCTCTCCACACTAGTAAAGTCATTTTGAAAGAATCCCCAGAATCTGCCTCGAGAAATTTAATTTGTCCAAGAGATTCAGAAACATTTTCTATCCAAGAAACCAGCCAAGGCCACCTGCTTAATATGCAATTACTCACTTTCGGAGAGTTCAATCCTAGACACAAAACCCACCAATCCACCAAACAAAAACACCAAATACCAGACAGTAAACCAAAAAAAAAAAACAAACGCCCCCTCCAAGGCCTCCACAATTATCTTGCAATACTTGCTTATATATGTCTAGCAAAACCAGATCACTATGTTTACAATTCAAGTCAGAAGAGAGAACCACCTGAACGCATGCTGCAGCACTAAGGATAATACAGATAGCTTCAATGGTGACATCTCAAAACTTGTTAGCCTGATACTTCAGACAAAAAAAGTAAATACAGGAACAAGTAACAGAATGGAATCAAAGTGAAAGAGACAAATTTTAAAATCCATTTTGAAGGACTTTAACCCTTGCTCTTCTATAACACTAAATTAGATCCTTGGGTTTCATGTCAACCATCTCTTACCAGCTGTGCTTTCAAGGTTGAAAAGCCAAATGTTACCAGTAAGTGAAAAACTGTTAAATTTAGTCTCAAAATCTCCAATACTCTTTTCTTTCTACAACACAAATTATGTACTATTTTCATTGTGTATGAAGCAACCAGCATGCCACAGCCAAATCTTGTAAACTTATTTACATTGCCCAAGATGAAAAAAAATTTTAAATACCAGTTACAAGAAGTGCATTTACTTCCTGCAAATTTTACTAAAACTGCATCCTTCTGAATAGATCTATATTGTTTGTATACAATCATCTGACAGATTAAAATCTCAACATTAAGTGGTTTTACTTACTTGTATTTTTTTGAGTTCTTCACTAAAGGGATCCTTGACTGTCAAGAAAAAAAGAAAAAAAATTAATTCACTCTAGGGTCTGAAAACACTAAAAAGGTATACCAACATTGTAGCTTTATGACAACACTGCAATAGTTAAGATAAAAACATGGTCCATAATAAGACAAATAACAGAGACATCTATTAACCTTTGCCCTAACTCTGCATTTGATAATGCAGTATAGTAGCATTTAGGTTTTACTAGATTTTTTTATGTCAACAAATTTCACAGCTATTTCCTTACAAACAAAACTGTACTTGCCATTTGCTGAACTCTTGCTTTATAACTCAATTGCTTTGAAATAATTTGAAGGTTTTACATTTTAGTGGACAAATTAAAAAATGAAAACCTCTTTTTTACTCACCACTAATACATATAACAAAGTTCTACAACTCAGAATGTTCTTTTAACAAGAGTGAGATGACACACTGAGAGCTCATGCACTCCCATGCATATAGGTATCCACAAAATATTAAGAGTTGCCCATCCAAGAGTAGATTGACTGACAATATCTTGACTGCTGATCCACAACCATGCTCAAACTGATCAGAGTTATATTTATATTTTAGTTATAAACAGGAAACAGAAATATAAAGGTTGACATATTAGATCAAATTCATGGCTAGATTTCTCATTTAGGAGAAATGGAGGATACAAAAGAAACTAAGGCCCAACTTATAAAACAGGGTTCCCAACCTTAGTCAAGTGTAAGTGAATATGGATAAAGAACAAAAAAATCATTTTCTAAGAAAAAAACCTAATTATTTGTAAAAGAATGTGATTTTTATTAACTGCATGAACTTCAGTAGCACTCTTGTCAGCAGACAAATGTTGATCCATTTCAGCTTAGTTTTGAAAGGAAGTTTGAAGTCCCTTTCTCTGCTCCTACACGTGGCAATGGTTAAGATCCACACTCCTAACAGTGACAACCAACAAATAATGTATAAAACAGAGGGACAATGAAAACACTTCCTAAATGAAGAAGGCTTGACTCTCTGCAACTTTGCAAACAAGTCTGTCCATGTGCCTCAGTTCAGAAAAAAATTAAGCATGTTACCAACCCAATAAGCCCTTTGGCTTTTTCTGATACAGCAAATGGGAAAAAAACTAAACCAAACCAAAATCACCCAAACACAGGGACTGGTTTTCACAGACATCCAAATACTGTATTCAGATATAAGATTAATTAAAGCTGATACAAGCAGATGCTGAAGACTCTTGCATACCAAGCCCTACAGCATTTCATGATTTCATTCTATAGGTTTCTATAGGTCCAAATTAACAGCCATTGCTTACTGGATTATCAAGCTACAAACTTTAAAGTTTTATGTATTTCATTCATTAACTCAAACAAACACACCCAGCACACTAAACATTTAATGTAAACAGCCTAAAATAGAATTAAACACCTAGTTTGATTGTTAGTTACCCAGACAAGGATAATTACAGACTCCAGGGTCGATGCTATTCAGCACACATGAAATCTTGACTGAGTAGTGGTTTTAGATTGGAAGGTACAAACACAAGGTACAAGAGGGAGTAGATTTCAGTACACGTGACTAACGTACTTACACATATTCAATACTTCCATGCCTGCAAAAATGCAAACTGAAAACTGTCACCTGAAATTCTACATATGCTAGGGCAGCCCAGAGTAGAGTAGAGTAGAGGCGATGGTGGTGGTTTGATTTTACTGGGATTGTGATGCTGGGAAAGTCTATCTCATATTTGGGCAACTTCATATTTACATAAATTACACCTTGAATTTGTTAAGGAAGCCAGATGATATGTCAATGTTTGCCTCTCCTTCACAAATACATAGTGGTTACAATGACCAAGAATACCAATCACCTCTTCAAAAACACTTATCACAAAAATGTAGCAATCTTTGAAACTCTTTAACTCACACTATAGGATTTCCATGAAATCCCTCTGAAGTTAGTGATTGTTACTGTTAACCAAAAATTGAAGTACATTTTATATATGATGCTATTTCGTTCAGCATGACTGGTACTGTATGAGGCAAGTAAGCAAAATGCAACTGCAGCAATTTATCAGCTGCATATGCAATCACAACTGTTAATCAATCTGCATTTATTTACCACATAACCTCAATTCACTTGAGTTAATAAGGCCACTCCTTAACTTCTTCAGTAATTCCTCTTCTGAATACACCCTTCTTTCTTTTGTCCAGAACCTAATCTCTTACCAAATCCTCCCACATGCTTCAGTCACAGATGCAAAGTTCTCACATACTCCAACATGCCTAAGGTATTTCAATATATTACATCAGCATTCTTGGTTCAAAAGCTTTCTTGACAGTTCTTAGAATATGCAACTATATTTGTAAGAGTGATAAATTCAACAAAACGAAACATTATATTAAGAATTAATTATTAATATAATATTTTTTAGCTGAACATATATTTCCCAAGGCTCCTCCTCAAAACGGGTTTGAGACCTCAACCAGGCAATAGTTGGCCGCCTGGAAAATAGTCTATCAAGCTCGCATTCTAATGGAGTTCAAAGAACAACTCACCATCTACTTATGCTACAAAGTTAAAACATGCACCCTTGTACCAGAGGTGAGAGTACTAAATACTATTCAGCCCTTTCGTAACATTCATGCCTTCACTTCACTCATCATTCATACACCTTCGAGAGCCCTCTTCCTCTATAAAAGCCACCTCTGAACCTTTCTGCAGCTCTATGTTCCTCCTAATATTTTAAGGTGACATTTTTAACAGAATCACTGTAATGCCATAATCTATTTTTGAATGTACAGATAATGTGATTTTAGAGATGAAAAAGCAAAATTCCAATGTAACTTGAAGGAGCTGTAAAGCTGCAGCAGCAGAAATAAGAATGATCCCAATTAACCAGTAAGCAGCTCGTTTCTCAGTGTGATGCCACAAAGCACCAAATACCATTCACCCACAGGATTCAGGGACTGTGCACTATGACATATACCTCCAAGGTAGCAGCTTCTGCAGAAACAAGAATGCTTCTCCCTGTAAAGTACTTTTCTCCTCTTCATCCACCAAGCCACAAGCAGACTAAACCCAAAAGAAAAGTAGTAACATTTCCAATATATGTCTTACAAAGATGTGTTCTGTAAGAGGATAACCTAATGCTTTCCATCAGATTTTTTCTCCGACTAGAACAAATACATCAGCTGGACAATATACTGCTACCAGAGTAAGAAACAATAGTAGAAGCACTGCTATCAGAAAACATGATCTCAAAACAAGTTTTCAATAATTTTACAACTCAAGAATTTTCAATGTCAGCTAACAGACCTGTAACTTTTTCTAAGTCTAGGATCAAGGTGTGACTTCACCCAGTGACATACCATGTATGTGTCAAGAATAATTCTAAAAAATTGTTCCTCTGAACTCTTAAACTACCAGAAAATGCCAGAAAAATACCAAACAAACGAGTTATTGCTTGAAATGTTATTCCAGAGCTCCATATTTCAAACTTCTTAAACAAACTAATCCTGTCTTTGTTTTCCTGTCCGCAATTATTCAATGCTCAAAACAGACAAGCAGTTTTGCATTACCTTCCAGTTCCATATTTCTCTAACTCAGGTAGAAACCATTTCAAACCAGTAGGCTAAATCTCTCTGCTTTGACATTAAGACATCAAATCATACAGCAATTCCTTCTATATGGATCATCTTTGTGTGCTTTGGAAATGGTTTTTATATTTCTATGAGTACCCCATTACAGTCTGAATACTCCTTGGCTGTGTCAATTTTGAAGATAATGTGCCACAAGGATTAGCGAACTCTACAAATGGCTGAACCTTTCCTTAATATCTAGTCAATTTTCAACTGGCTCAGTTTAAAGCTCTTTTATTGATCATTTTCCCAGCCAATATAATTTTAATTCGTTCTATTTCCGAGTAAGTGATGTAACGATTGACAACATAATCAACAATTTCATGTTGTTCCCTTCTACCGACAAAGTTCCCCTCCAAAAGAATTAAAAATCATATTTGTGATACATACTTCAGATACATTTTCTATCAGCTCTGAAAATAAGTCTTCATTATTTCAGGTAAAACTATATGACCTACCAGAATTTCTCTTTGGAGTTTTCACTACATAAACAAAAAAATAAAAAGACCAAAAAATTACAACAAAATAACCATCTCCTTTGTTTAGCTGTATCACCCTTTCTAGAAAGATTCAAATCTACTCCTGCTACTTAAATGCTGGTTAGAATAGACCTTAATGTTGAAAGGTGCCCCTGTGAGTCATGCCAATTTAATTCATATTTAAGAAGAGACACAAGTGTTTTGGGAAAGCTTCTCATCAGATTATTCAGTTTCACTAAATAATAACATTCGTTTCATTTTAGTACTCGCATTAGTGATCAAAAAACCTAAAAATTATAAAAGCTGTCAGTTCTTAAGAGTATTTAAGAAAATATTTTTAAGTAACAGTATTTGCACACATGCTCTTTTGCATTATATTACAAATAGAAGAAACAGTTGTCTCTGTTCTACCAGGGAAAATGGCCCAAAAGTTCACTTGCTGTGCATTGTAAAAATTAATTAAAATCACATACACACAGTATTCACCACAGGCTAGTGCGCATACATAGGAAATAAAAAACCCACCACACTAAGACTGCTCTTATAAGCAGTTGCAAAACATTACCAGGAGAAATGTTAGACTTCAGACACATACCAGCATTTTACTATGGATAGAGAATCAGAACAGTCTTCTGAAATAGCTCTTCTGCGTTTTTCTGCACCTCTCCCAAATAATTTTAGCTCCCTACATTTTGTAAGGTTAAAAAAATATCCACCGCTTCTACAAATGAACACAAATTTAGAAAAAAGGGGAAACTCCATCTTGAAAGCATAGCAACACAACATGTTTTATGTTAAACTAGGAAGCATTCGGCTTTCCTCAAACTCCAAAGTTCAAAGTGGAAAGCAAACTAATAAAGCAAGTGTTATTGAAACACAGAAGGTTTAAGAATCAAT